TCTTTCCCTACCCTCAGACTGACCTTAATTTAAAGTAGGTGCATGTGCACGTGTGTTGTGCACACATTGAACACACACACACACACACACACACACACACACACACACACACACAATCCTCAAATATGATTAGTTACTTGGATTTATAAAATCAGGGCAAACTCACCCTGCCATGCAAGCTGTGCTCTGTACAATCTCAGGGAATATCCTCTATATAGAGTCTGATGTAAATGTACTTGTACACTGTACAGAAGCCCTGCTTAAAGTGAACCATTCTCTTTTTCTTACTCACATAGGCCATGTGATAAATCATCTCACCTTTGTAATAGTAAAAAGGGAGCTACAGCTCACCAAAGATATACATCTAGATGGCAGGTAAACTTATGAAAATATGTTCAGCACCATATGTCATTAGGGAATTGCAAATTAAAGCAATAAGACATTAGTAAATATCCATTAGAATAGCCAAAATCTAGAACACTGATACCACCAAATGCTAGAAATACAGGGAGCAACAGAACTCTCATTTATTGCTAGTAGGGGTGCAAAATGGTATAGCCACGTTGGAAGACAGTTTGGCAGCTTTTTTACAAAACTATAAATACTCTTACCATATGATCCAGTAATCATGCTCCCTTGTATTTACCTAAGCAACCTGAAAATTTATGTCCACACAAAATCTGCACATGGATGATTATAGAAACTTTGTTTATAACTGCCAAAACTTGGAAGCAACCAAGATGTCCTTCAATAGGTGAATGGATAAGCTGTAATACATCCAGACAATGAAATATTGTTCACTGCTAAAAGGAAATGAGTTATTAAGCCATGAAGAGATGGAGCAATCTTAAACGCATATTGCTAAGTGTTAGAAGCCAATCTGAAAAGTCTCTGTGTATCTTTAGGAAAATGTATTTAATAATGGAACAGGTTCATAGGAGGACTGTATTTGAAAACATTTTGCTCTATTTTGTTTTACAAAAATAGTGTTCAATATGGCATGTATATAGCTCCATCAGTATTAGTTACGAGAAAAGTAAATTTTTGGAATCAAGGAAAAAAAAACAATAAAAATATTCTAAAATTCAGCCAAACCAGCATTTCTAAAGCAAATTTTACTTTAGTATAGATGGCTGCCATATTAGATTACTTCCAATGTTTCCAGGAACCATAAAATGTCACAAAGGAATATGAAATATGAACAGTCAATGTATTAAAAGTGGTTCTTTAAATTTTTTTTAATGTTTATTTATTTTTTGACAGAAAGAGAGACAGAGCATGAGAGGGGGAGGGGCAGAGAGAGAGTGAGACACAGAATCTGAAGCAGGCTCCAGGCTCTGAGCTGTCAGCACAGAGCCCGACGTGGGGCTCGAACCCACAGACCACGAGATCATGACCTGAGCCGAAGTCGGACACTCAACCGACTGAGCCACCCAGGCGCCCCTAAAAGTGGTTCTAAGTAAGAGACCCCTTCCAGGGAAAATGGGTTGGATTGCCTTATTGATCCTTCTCCTCATTGTGTTCCTAATTAGGAAGAATATATGCACCCACTCCAGAAAATGAGTGAAGACAAAGGGTATGACATTCCAAACTTCATGCTTCAAGAAGGCAAGGTGTTATTGAAGTTCTAAGAAAAAACAATTAGATCATGTATCTAGGTGGTAGGCTGTCAAAGATCGGTATCTACAAGATAGACTTGTTCTTACTTTCCATGAAGTTGGAAGAGTTAAGGTTCCTGGCCATCACTCTTTTTTATGTTTTAGATGTTTTTCCTCCTTCCTAACAACATATGACTAAACCACTTAAGGAAGCTTCAGATGTGAAGGTGCGGGAGCAGGAGGAAAGGAAGCAACTAGGCTGCCTCTGAGATAAATATGTAGCAAATCGCTTTCCTCTCCTCTGAATCTCTTTCCTTTTGGCTACAATGGGTGTGACTTTCTCTCATATTATAGTTATTTTAAAATTCATGTTTGCAATATAGGAAATAAGAGAAATAATACCACAAAGCCAACAAAGCATAAATAATGAAGAATATCTCATACTCTAGCCAAGGTTACTAAAGTTTTGCAATGGAATTTCAGGCAAATCCAGTTAGAAACTGTTTTGTTCGGGGCACCTGGGTAGCTCATTCACTTAAGTGTCCAACTCTTGATTTCAGCTCAGGTCATGAACTCACAGTTCCTGAGGTCAAGCCCCACTTTGAGCCCCACATCCTAACAAGCCCCTTGAAGAGCCCCATGTCAGGCTCTGCACTGAAAGCATGGAGTCTTTTTGGGATTCTCTCTCTTCCTCTCTGTCTGCCCCTCACCCTTCTCTTTCTCTCTCTCTCTCTCTCTCTCTCTCTCTCTCTCTCTCTCTCTCTCAAAATAAATAAGCATTAAAAAAAAAAGAAACTGCTCTGTTTGCTATTACTCCCTATACATACATTTTCAGTAACCTAATTCAGTTACCTCAGTAACCTTTGAGGAAAAGGGTTGACTATGCCAAAGCAAATTTCAAACATTTTTGGGTGTCCCAGCAAAATCCATCACAATAGGATCTAAATTTCCCTAAAATCCATTATAATAATATGTTTCCCTAAAACTTGATCTCATTGACCACCATAGGTCTGTATTTCTGTCGGCCAATTCTTCAAGAGGAATGGCCACCTTTTGACTGTGAGCCATCGATAAATAATGTCTCTAGCAATTGTTCCAGAACCTCAATTTCCTCTGATCCACTTTTTTTTTTTTTAATCAGAGTCCTTACTCATGAATCCTGGCTTTTGGTTCTATATCTCCTTTAACAGCTTAAGTGTGCACCTTAAATGCTGGCTTTGCAGCATAGCATTTCCTAAATAAATGTAACTTGAACTCACTCTTCTGGCTCTCTCCATTTTAGGTTACCATGAATACAGGAAGTTTTATGCTTTTTGGACCAAGCACATTTCAGCCTCAAACAGAAGAAAAACAGACATTAGTTACTTATCTCATTACTAAAACTTGAATTCCACTCTTGACTGATCCTTTCCATTATTCTGCTCACAGCATTTTTTAAAAATGAACTCCCAGTATTAAATACTGTTATTTTATTACCTCCTCTCTTTTCCCTACTTCTTAATCTTTTTAATGTTTCTTGGATCCTAGGTTCTCTTAAGCACTCTATGGCATCGCTTGTTCTTACTATAGTTTCTACTTGACCAATTGCCAAGTCACTAATGACAAGATACAAAAATAACAGAAGAATAGTACACCACATAAGTGAGCTGAAGAGACTACAAAAGAAGCCACCAGAAGGTGGAACAACAATTTTACACAGAAGAAGTAAAGATTCAAAGATGAATCTTATGATTAAGGATCATTTAAATTACTCTAATAAATTGAGCTGAAGACAACTTCTATAAGGTCTTATGAATAGTAGCTATAAACAGTGCAAAATCATCAGACAATGTACATATTTATAGACTATGAAAGAATAGTTCTTAATAACATTAATTGTGATGTGGTTAGCAAAATTATCAATAATATTAACAGCTTTAGAAAACTCCTTATAATGAATATATATCCCCAAATTTCTTAACATTTAAAATACTTCCAAAGACCTGACAATGATATATTCTATGTAACTTCACAGATATTAAATAAAATACCTCTACAATATGAATATTTAATTCCTGTTTATGCACATAGTCATTTGCCATAATACAATACATATCCATGTATGTGTATTAGATTTTGCATATGGATATATGACTATGTGTATATACATATATCTGTACATGAGTATGCAAGTACTTTATAAATATATATCCAAATTGGTTATATACAACATTCAGTGAAAGTCTCCTCTGCATAAAGCACATAAAAAAGCATGTGACATGCCTGAAACCAGTGAGTTTATATTCTATATAGAGGGCCAAAAGACACTTCATATGAACTTTATACTTTTATAAAGCATCTCATCTAGAGCAAATGAATATAGTCGGCACTGTGTGCTACTGAGGAAAAAGTTTTGAATAGGATATACTGGCCTTTTAAATCTATATTTTTATTCAATGGATAATTTCTGTGGGTTTTAAGGGCTTGAAGATATTCCTCTGCTACTTCTAAAACACATGTCCTCAATAACACTGAAATCAGATAAATGACAGTCTGCACCTTTTGTAGTCTTTTCTAATCATGTTAATAAAATGGAAATATTTATAGTGTAAGTTACTTAGAAACAGGCCTACATGTGAAGGGGTTTATTTATCACAAACAGTGCATTACACATTATTATAAGTTTGATCTAGTAATTATACTAGAATGTCAAGTCTTCATTTCTACTATTATTTAATGTCAAAAAAAATTTCTAAGGATAAAAAAAAAAAGTTTGTGCTTTTTTGCACAAACTCTGGTGTCAGAAGACCTGGAGTTAAGTCTTAGCAGTGTCATTCAAATGTGTGGCTTTTGGTAAGTTAGTTAACCTGTAAAAGCCTTAGTTTTCCTCTTTATAAACATGACATGGAAACACCTATCTTACAGTGCTGTGGAGAATAAATTACAGAACACATGCAAAATATCTAGCAGAGCACCTGACAGCAGTAGGCAGTCAATAAATAAGTTTCTATTTCCGATGTGTCCTCAAAGCAAGACATAATTTATCATCAAACACTGAATGAATATTATACTACATATAGTCTCATTAGTTTTCAATAAACTAAATATTTCTTTGTTTTCAACTGCTATGAAGATATTTTACATTACTATTAATAACTATTTGCAATAGGTGATATGAGAAAATATATATGCAAGGTATAAAATTACAAAATAGTTGTGATAAGAATAATGTACCACAAAATTATATTTGTACTTTGTTATCATATGACTTTTCTTACATCAAGAAAACCTCAAGCAGAATATTAACAATATAATGAGAATATTTAAAAGGGAATGAAGAAACTTACTATTGATACATAAATTACAACTATATTATCTTAAATAAAAATATTTAAAGGTAAGTAATAAACTAACCATACTTACATGTTTCCAATGTGCAAGTTTTCCTGTTCTATTAGTTTCAGGCTGAAGAAAGAGATGCTTAAAGAGACTGTCTTTGTATCCTTTAGGTATAAAAGTCCACTTTGTTTCACATTCACCAATAAATTTCTCCTGATGCTTTTTATGCAACAAGGGGCTGAATATAAGAGTGGGTTGGGGGGGGGGGACGGGGAGGAAATTGTCATTTAGTCTTTTTGCCATTAAAAAAAAAAGAAAGAAAACTACTCATGAATTCACTTACATCTTTAGAAAACATGCTGCTAAATTTAATGTAATATTTGTTTTCATATTAATACTATATAAAAAACTACTGAGGCACTAAAGTTTATTCATCATCATTCATCAAGGGATGAATGGGTGCTGAGAAATCTCTGGTGATATGGATCCACAAACAGTTCTGTACTCATGTCTGGCTATGTATTTTATAATATAATGGCAAGGAGAACATGACAAAGTTATCTACAGAAATATAAGGTAACCATTATGAACTCTTTTTATTATTCTTCTCCAGTAAAGAAGTAACTCTATCTCCATCTATAAAAATTACTCTAGAGCAGTACTGTCCAACATAATACAATGTATGCCATCAAATAATTTTAAGTTTTCTATTAGTCACAGTAAAAAATGTAAAAGAAAAAGAGGAGATTAATTTTAATTTTGTTTAAACCAATATGTCCAAAATATTATCTGATAAATGGCATCAACAAACTAATATAAAACTTAATTGTAAAATACTAAATATTTCCCCTGTAAGATCAAAAACAAGGGAAGAATGTCCTCTCTCACCCAACCTACTCATCATTGCACTGGAAGTCCTAGTCAGTCTAATAAGGCAATAAAAAGAAAACCATAGACCAATCTCAGCTTTGAATACAGATGCAAAAATTCTAAATATTAATGAAAAGATCCAGCAATATAAGGAAAGAATAAGAACAATATGATCAACTATTACAAAGCTCATTATATAGGCAAATTAATGGAAGAAACATGTCTGTGTATACAAACAAATGCAGAAAAGGTATTAGATAAAATTTAACAGCCAATCTTTAAAATTTTTGTAAGAGAGGATATCAAAGTACACTACTTCAATATCATGGAGACAATTTACCAAAAAATCAGTAACATTTATTCTTTTTGATGAAATTGTGAAGTCATTTGAATTAAAATGATGGACGAAGTAGGAAGTTTACAGTTACCATTATTATTAATTAGCAGAGGTAAAACAAAACTAAAAGGAAAGCATTTTTTTCCATTTTTCAAATTTTTAAAGTGAGCTCCATCTATTCATTTCTTCATGCAAAATACTTTCATTGATGATCTACAAATTAGGGTAAAATATATTAAGAGAATAAAACGTATAATGGCTTAAATAATGTAAAAGTTAACTTTGCTCTAATGATGACTAGAGTAAGTTGGTGGCGCAGCTCTGCTCTGCTAAAGTCATTCAACCTTCCCTCACCACTATCAGAGACACTGTCGGCAACCCACATATCCAATATGTTACTCCAGCCCCTGGAAGTGAAAAACATGAAGACAAAGGGATACAACTATCATTTAAGAACTTCAAGCAGCACTTGTACTAATTACTTCTGCTCACTTACAAATGTAACAAGTCAAGAAAACACAGGATCCCTTCCCCAGCTGGTCCCAGTTGAGGCCTACAGTATCATCCCAAGAAATACCATAGCCTAGATCCATGTTTTAGAGAATCTATTCCAAGCAAGAATGTCTGGGAGATCTTGGACTTCCTTCCTCCTCTCAGAATTCACTTATAAGGCAGAAGCTCTAACCCAGGTGCAATAGGTAGAGAATACTGGAACCCTGAGAGCCCTTGCCCTCAGCAAGTGATAAACAATTAAAAGGAGCGGGTACCTCCAAGAGAGTAGCAAGCTAAACTGTAAACCATCTTGAGATTTACCAGAGAGAACCAGGAGAGGGGACAGCTAAGAAAAGCCCTTCTGAGATCTGAACAAACTGTAAAACCTGGCCTCAAAGATTACTTTTATAAAGAACCCACTTTTAAAAGATCACATTATGGAACAATTTATTTTCCAGGGAATTTCTGAAAACAATAGAGTAGTCAGCTGGCAACTAATGAAAGCTAGTAATAGTTGTGACATCAAAGGAGTTCAGAACGGCTTAACAGAGAAATCAGAAAAAGAGACGATCAAAGCAAGCCCTACTAAAATCACTGTCATGCCAATGGTGACCGCACCTGGCTAAAGGTTTGCCCTCTAAGGAGAAATATCAGAGGCTCCACAGTGCAAGCGAAATAAAATTTACTAAAATGGTTTACCCAAGTTATTAAACAAATAAATAAGGCCTGGGTGAGATGTTCAGTAACAAGGGTGGTTACCATATACTATTTAAAATGTCCAGTTTTGGGGCGCCTGGGTGGCGCAGTCGGTTAAGCGTCCGACTTCAGCCAGGTCACGATCTCGCGGTCCGTGAGTTCGAGCCCCGCGTCAGGCTCTGGGCTGATGGCTCAGAACCTGGAGCCTGTTTCCGATTCTGTGTCTCCCTCTCTCTCTGCCCCTCCCCCGTTCATGCTCTGTCTCTCTCTGTCCCAAAAATAAATAAACGTTGAAAAAAAAATTTAAAAAAAAAATAATTAAAAAAATAAAAAAATAAAACGTCCAGTTTTGGGGCGCCTGGGTGGCTCAGTCAGCTAAGCGTCCGACCTCGCTCAGGTCATGATCTCACAGTCCGTGGGTTCGAGCCCTGCATCGGGCTTTGTGCTGGCAGCTCGGAGCCTGGAGCCTGCTTCCGATTCTGTGTCTCCCTCTCTCTCTCTCTGCCCCTCCCCTGCTCATGCTCTGTCTCTCTCTGTCTCAAAAATAAATAAACGTTACAAAAAAAAATTCAAAAAAAATAAAAATAAATAAATAAATAAATAGAATGTCCAGTTTTGGGGGCACCTGGGTGGCTCAGTTAGTTAAGCATCTGACTTTGGCAAAGGTCATGATCTCACGGTTTTGTGGGTTCGAGCCCTGCATCAGGCTCTGTGCTGACACCTCAGAGCCTGGAGCCTACTTCGGATTCTGTGTTTCCCTTTCTCTCTGCCTCTCCCCTGCTCACACTCCATTTCTCTCTCTCTCTCTCTCTCTCTCAAAAATAAACATTAGAAATTTTTTTAAATGTTGTTTTCAACAAAAACTTATGAGACAGGCAAAGAAAAACAAAAGTGTAACCAAAGAGTAGGCCTTTGAAACTGCCTTTAAAAGGGTACAAATGACAAACATAACAGATAAACACTTCAAGGCAACTATTACAAATATGTTTAAAGGAAATAAGCCTCAAATAAGCAAAGAAATGTACAATGACAAGGCTTTTTCAAATAGAGATTATTAATAAAGACACAGAAATTATAAAACAGAACCAAATGGAAATTCTGCAGTTGAAAAGTATACTAACTGAAAGTTTTGCTAGAGTAGTTCAACAGACTTTAATTGGAAAAAGGAAAAAAATCAGAAAACTTGAAGAGATAAAGATTATGCTGATAAACAGAAAATAATGAAGACAGATGAACAGACCCACAAAGAAATGTGGAGTACAATTAAGTCCATCAACATATGAATAATGGGAGATAGAAGAGGAAAATGAGAAAAAACACAGGAAAAAAATATTAGAAGTGTTAAAACATTCTGAAATCTGATGTAAAACATTAATCTATACATCCAAGAGCTAAAAAAAAAACCTAAAAGTACAATAAACACATTATAAACACATCCAGACACATCATAGTAAAATAGTAGAAATGCAAAAACAAAGGAAAAAAAAAAAACACAAAGGGAAAATCTTGAAAACAGCAGAAGAAAAAAGACTAGTCATGCACAAGGGAACCTGAATAAGATTAACTGCTGACTTCTCAGCAGAAACAATTGAGGTCAACAAGCACTACTATGACACAAAGTACTAAAGAGAGGAGGAAAAAATCTTTCAAACAAGAATTTTATATACATATAAATGTATTCATACATATGTAAATATAAGTGACAGATGTCATTCTTGACTTTGTTCTCCCACGCAAGAACGACTAACAACTATTCATGGACAAAACACCATTGAGAGAATCCTAGAACAAAAGGAAAAGCTGAATCACATCTCCCAATATACCACAAAGACCACGACAGAATGCGTTAGAAAGGTAAAAGGAGTGGCTATATGTGAACAGCAATCCTTTTCCTTTAGACCAGTGCAGCACCATACTGAGAGGTCTCCCCTGAGCCTATAGCTCTTTCAGTGGGTAAGAGAGCCCAGGGGTAACATCCAGCCCCTGTAGTGTTTGTGGGTCACTTTGTTGAAGCCCCTACTCTGGTCTTACCCTATGGGGATTACAGGGGAGTCTGTGGTGCTCAACTACCGGGAATCTGATTGTGACAAAGCAGGGTGGGACCAGCACTGGAATCCTGGCAGACTGAATTCCTACCTGCAGAGCCCAAATGGTAGTCCCAAACAATGTTTTTGCTCATTTGCAGAATCAAGTCAGTGGCACAATATGATCAAGGACCTGGCAGGGTACAGGTTTGCCTCATTTAGGCAGTCAGTCAGACAAGGAGGTTTGCCGGCCCTGGAGGCTGGTACGCTCATGCCAAAGAGCTAAGTCATAGCCCCACCACTTTAGAGCATGGATCCTGGCATCATCTGGCAGTAAGGGAACACTAGCAATGCTCAAGCTGAGAGGTATATGAGCAGAGTGGATCACCCCCAGAGTAAATGTAGCACCCAGTATAGATAGTTCCCCTGCTTTGCCCAATTAAGGGAGTTAATTCATAGCTTCTCTACTGCTCACTGTAGTTCCTGGCCTCTCCCAATGGGAAAGCCTATTTAGAAAAATTGAGGAGTTGTCTAAGGTGGGTCCACGCACAGGAGAGCAGTCATAACCCACATGCTGCAAAGCATGATTGCTGGGGGGGGGGGGCCCCGGCGGGAGGGGGTGGTGAGAATACTCAGAAGCCTCTCTGTGACCTAGCAAAAACAAGGGGCAGGCAGGTAATGCTGACTGACCCCTGAGGAAAGTGAGTAGTCCTGTTCAGCCAGGGAACTTGCAGTGTGGGGCAGTTTGGGGCCACAAAGAGCCTTACTTCTTTGGAGCTGCTTCTCCCACTACACCTGGGCAAGGAAATTAATTTCTGG